TTTTGATTTTTCTCTTCCTCCAATCCGAATAATTTGAATGTTTTTCTTCTTCCTAAATTGTTGACACAGTGATAACTATGCAGGGAAGCCTGGTCATATTAATGCTTCTCAGGTAGAAACTTCAGGAGGATCTAGGCGAACAAGAAAAAGCATGCTTGCTTCTCATAATTCCCTTGAACAGAATTGCTCTGCTCCTGAATCCCATGTCAATGGTGTGAAAGAGTGTAGTGACTACTATGACAATTACTTGTGGTTAGGTCCTAAAGGAAATGGTGGTAGGTAGCTCTATCCATATCTAATGCTATATGCTATCTTTAGCTTTTATTCTGAGGATTTGTGGACCAACACTCCTGAATTTGTGCAATATGAATTTTATTTTGTTCCAATTTATCTTAGGTATGATTCTCTGGGATTTGCAGGTTCAAGTAACCTCTATCCCGGTGATATAATTCCTTTCACCCGAAGACCTCTTTTCTTGATCATTGATAGTGACAGCAGCCATGCATTCAAGGTAAGTTTTTCATAACTCGTGTATGCTTGACAGGATACGTTTAGTTTACTTACTATTTACAACAGTAGTTTCTACCAGAGTTTTCTACTGTGTTTAAAAGGTGATATGTAGTATTCTTCTGTTTTGTATTTGAAAGAATTTTTTCATATTCTTTAGTTTTAGAAAGTTTAAACCTTAAATCACTTGTATTCCTCTACCTTCAATGTGATTACATATGGCATTCACAATATGGAGTTGGATTGAAAAGATGAAAACATAATGTGAATATTTTGAGAGTATATATAAAACCTCCAGACTGGTATTTGATAGTACTGCAACTTGCAAATAAAGTTAAATTCATCATAATGCTTTTTGCGGATGGAAATGATGGATAGTCAATTAAGAGAAGGAAAATGAATCTTACTGTGGTTATAATGAAAAGGAGGGAAAATGGAATTTGAAGGTTTTAAAGTCATATTCAGTGATCTGTGGCCATGAGCTAAATTGTTCTTGCTGCAACATGCAAGTAAAGTACTTTCTATTGCAATTCCTTTAAAGATGAAAATGATGGACAATAACTGAACAGAAGACATTAATTGTACCCTTTGCTTGAAATGTCGATTGATAGGCTTTGTTTTCCTCTTTCAAGATTTAATGTATCTTTATGAGCAGGTGAACCTACTATCTAAAATTTACGACAGTTTTAGAATTAACTGCTTGGAACATGTTTGTTTACTGCTAGGTGTTATTACTATTTTCAGAAGAGGTGTGGGGTCTGCTAAATTGCTAATAAGCTTCATTGAACTTGTCTTAAACTGTATTTGTACGATCTGAAATTGGAGATCTCATTTTGTTGTAATCTTTGTTATTGTTTATCTATGTGGTTCCTTACACTATAAATTACTTGAGTTTCAGGTCTTGCATGGTGCAGAAAGGGGAGAAAAAGCTGCCCTACTGCTTTCGCCATTGAAGCCATTTTTCAAGGACCCATCCGCTGCTGATATTAGTCAGAATGGAAGTCAGTTTACCTTTTTCTTGACTGCTCCTCTACAAGCATTTTGCCAAATGGTCGGATTCTCCTTGTCTGATAGTGACATGGTAAAATTTCAAATTATTTGAGATCGTTAATCCTACATTCTCTCTGCTCCAGTGGGTCTTACTTTTCCTTCCTTTTCTGCTTTTAGGAGGTTCTAGACGTTGCCGAAAGCATACTATCTACTGCTTTCTCCAAGTGGGAAGTAATTCTTTGCAAATCACCTAGCCTGGATCTGGTTTGGGCGCAGGTTTTATCTGATCCATTTTTAAGGCGGATTATTGTTAGGTATTTTATCTTTAATCTTTTATCTGATTGGCTTTTTACTCTAGCTTTTGCTGTTGTAAATATAATTAAGTTTTTCTTAGTTTAATGGAGGCATTCTGAGACCAAAAAAAGTACTGAATGACATGACTTTTTCTTGCAACTTTTATTCAGATTCATATTCTGTCGAGCCGTGCTCTCTGCCATCTCCCAGGAAGAAGGGAGTGAGCAATTTCTGCCTCTTTGCCTACCACAACTTCCTAATTCCCTGTCTCCAAAGGCTGATGCTGTGCAGTCTTCCGTCATCCAGCTTGCAGATCACCTGAAAGTTTCCCACTGCTTTCACTTTGCCGATACATAAGTAGGACCTTATATGTTGATGGAATCTGCAGCATAACATTGTTGCATCCAATACATATCTCGTAGAGTTTCGACACAAGTCGGACTTTCAGGGCCCTCAAGGGTATATGATTGCTTAAAACCCAAAGCATTGTCAAGGGTATTTGATTGAGCATGCTACATGACATTGCTGGTGTGTGTACCGAATCTTCTGGTTTGGTACCAAGTTGAGATGGGTGCTTGATAACATGCAAGGTGCATTTGAACATAGTTTGGGTAAAGGTTTTAGGAGCCCGTTGATGTATCTAATAGGTAATTTCTGTGGGAGTATTGCATTTTAGTCTTGGGATTATTAATGTTATGTTTTTTTTTTCTTTTTCGTTCCTTTTTCTGTAAAAAGAAAAGTGAGGTAGGTCAGTGGGATTAATTCTTTTTCTTCTTCTTGTTCCCCCCCCCCCATTGATGGGTTTGATTTACATGTAGTCTTTAAAAAAGGTAAAGGGGTAGAAGGTTAATTGAATATGATTGGTATTTGAGGAATCATTTCAATACATGTATTACTTTTTCCTTTTATATATTTGGACTTCTGTTTTTCCTCTTTCACATTCAAACCAAATGAAATCTAAAGCAATTGTGTTCTTATCTTTGTAAATAACACTATAGACGGGTAACTTTGAATTTTTTTTGTATAATATATGAAGTATTTATAATTTTTAAATGTAGGCTCAAAATTTAAAATTCTCATATATTTTAGATAGTTTTTTTATATATTTTTTCTATTGATAAATTGTTTTTGTTACGTTTAAAATTTTATTAAGTTCGTTTCATTAAACAAATAGTGTTTTCTTTGAGGAGAAAGTATTATTCTTAAGAGTAGACAAATGGTGACCTATATGATCATAAGTAGAGAAAGTCGACAACATTTCGGTGTCATGTGAGAAATCATAATTTGTGACAAAAATCGCGAACATATCGGGTCAAAGGGAATGTTGATGGTACAATATGTGGTAAGAACATGTGGTTGGCGGAGGTGGAGTGATTCGAAATGAGCAAGGTTCATGATTATTTGGGTTCTCCAGGAGTTTTAGCATCAGCTCAGTGTTAATTATAGAATTATGGTCGGTACATGAGTATTGTCATACTCTTGGAAGCTCCGTTATCGTTGGGTGGAGGCAGGCCAGTCCTGACATTTTAAAGGTTTTAGGTCAGAAGGTGATGACAAGAAGACAAGTGATGCTCATACCTAGATTTCTCCCTAATTAAAATGGGGTCCACTTAATTACCATATTTTCGAGTTTTTTAAATAAAAAATAATGTTTAAAAATATTTTTTAATTATTGAGGCCCATTACATTACCATATTTTAGAGTATTTGAAATAAAAAAATATGTTTAAAAATATTTTTTAATTATTAAACTTAAAAATAATTTTAAAAATGGGTCCCTCTAAACTTGGGCCCTAGGCGGTCGCCCCTTGGCCTATGCCCAGGGCCGGCCCTCGGTGGAGGTAGAGAAACAATTTTGAAATATCAAAAATTCTTAAGGGAAAAGTATGCAAATAGGCCCTTTTATTTAGGGACTGACTGACTTTTGTCACTAATTTTAAAATTAAGGGTAAATGGTCCCTTACATTATCGATTTGTCCGGTTTAATTTCCTATGCTATTAATTTATGCTAGCACCCTTTTGTTTAAGTCCCTAACATGGCGAGGGACTAAAATCGAACGAGAGTTAATGGCTGAGGGACTAAAATCAAATGGATCGGTAACGTTAGAGACTAAAATTGAACGAATCGACAACGTTAGGGATCATTTTCCCTTAATTTTTAAATTGATGACCAAAGTCGCTCAGACTGAAACCATAGGGACTATTCACATAGTTTACCCAATTCTTAATTATAAATCTTAGTTCTTATCATATAATATCGTCGTTGTTGCTATTAGAGTCTGTTGCGAAGAGATTGAGAGGTTAAGACGAAGAATATCTGGATGAAAATAAACGATAAGGCGTACATGTTGGCAAAGATGGCTTGTGGAAAAACTATTGGAGAACTTGTAATTGCAGATCTGCGAAGGGAGGTTGCAGCATTAGTGAAGCAGAAGGTCGAAGCCAGCTTCTAGGCTCAGTTTCTCTTCTGTTCTTATACCGGCGGGCAAAAAATAGAATATGGAACAAATTCGAACCCAAAAAATAAAAAAATAACATCACCTGTCCCCAATGAAGTGGGTTCGGTTGAAAGATTTATACATTGCATATTCACGAGTGAATAAATTAATATTTGCTTTAAATTGGATGGCATTAAATGATTGGTTTTGTTTATATTTCATTTTGCTTAATCAAAATCGCTCTGTAGCGTCTTCTATTAGAGCAAGTTTTGGAATCAAGTAGGACGTAACGGGGCACATACTCTAAATTTAAGCTTTGGTTTGAGCAGAATACCCGACAACCTCCGATGTCCCTAAAAAGCCTACCCCTTTTTTTGTTTTGTTCTGTTCCCCGACATTTCTGGACTGGTTCTTGTTCAATATTTATCCTCTAGCTTAAATTTTGAGCATTGTTAAAAAGTTTAGTTCGTTTAACTTCCCTTAAATTTAAGAACTCGTTGTGTTTTCCAAGAAACAATCCCTTCCCCTTATATCCAAAAGAAACCCTTCTACTTCTTCCTCACAAGGGAAAACTTCACTGACAACATCACCACAGATCAAGAAACCTTCAAAACATTCCCATTTCAATACAGATTTTAGCGTCGTCATGATAAACGTCTGAACTTTTCATGGTATTTCTTGGAATATTGTCTAGCAAGATAGATCATCTTTTCGTCGTGTGAAATTTGTGATAGGAAAGGAAGTTTAGGGTTTGGGAGCAACAAGGCAATAAATGGGGCAGCTTGAGGAGGATTCATCGTTATCGTTTGCTAAAGAAGAACAAAGAGTTGAGAAGTCTGAAGCAATGGATTTATTATTGTTAGAAGGTAAGAGGAGAATTCATGAACTGGAAGACGAAATTAAGAGAAGGGATGAATCCGAAAAGAAGATGTATGATTCACTTGTTGCTCAAACCAAAGAGCTCGCGAAAACAAAGATTTCAATTGAAGAATCAAGACAAGAAATCACATCCCTCCGTGAAATCCTCGAGAAAATGGAAGGTTCATCCGAGGCTGCTGCATCTCAGAGTTCTTCTTCATTAGATAGCCTTGAGGCCGAGCTTCAATCGGCGAAAGAGAAGGAAGGGAACGTTGCTTCATTAAAGGCCAAGATGAACTCGCTAAAAAATGAAATGAAATCGACCCGAGAAGCCAAAGAAAACAATCTGAGAGTCCTGGATGACTTAGCCTTAGCATTGAAAGAAGTAAGAACGGAAGCCATCGAAACCAAGGAGGAAGCCTCGATGATAAAAGACGAGCTCGAGAAATCCAAAGACGAAGTAGAAAATCTGAAGCTCAAGTTGAAGAACATCGAGGTAATGTACAATGAAGCAAAGAACGAAGCTGAAACATTTAAATACATTTCCGAGATATTAACATTAGAGGCCGAACAAAACCTAATGCAATGGGATATGAAAGAGACGGGCTTTGTCGATTGCATTAAAAAACTCGAAGATGAAAAGAATGCTGCACAAGAAGAGAACAAGATATTGCTTGAATCACTAACAGAAGCTCAAAACATGTACAGAAAAGCCATGGAAGAGAATGAAGAACTTCGGGACAACAAGAAACAGGCCGTGTATGAAGCTAATTACGTAACCAAGGAGACCGCAAGCATATATTCCCGAAATAAAGAAGGGTCAAATAAACTTTCCCCTGAGAATGAAAACCGTAAGAGTAACGGATCAGCAACTTTTGAGATCATTAGGGAGTGGAAGCTTTGCTTTGTGAAGAGCAAAGTAATAAACATAAAAATGGTAAAGCACAGAATAAGAAACAAAAGCAACATAAATTCAGCACCCCTTGTTTGAATATAAAATTCCCATATAAACTCAAGGAGGTTGAAGACGAAACCAAGAACCTGATCAAAGAAAGTGATGAAGAATCAGAGTCTGATTTGTCTGATCCACCGAGGGGTTCTATATTTGATGTAGTTGAAACTTTAGAACACCAGAAAAAGCCTGCTTTTGTGGCCATTGATGAAGCTATGAATAACAGTGAGGAGTTTTATCATCTTGGGACGGGCCATTTCTATGTAGAAAACAATAAGACCTCCCGGAAAAAGAAAGCATTGCTAAGTAGGTTTAGTGATCTTTTAAAGATAAGGACTTTACACTAGCTAGGATTTACTGTGTAGGATTAAAATCTGACAATAGTGGACATATTATTATGTATATTGATATTAAAAGGTTAATGATATTCTGTATGTCATAGATATTAAAGTAATGAATGAAAGTTAAACATCGAAAACCCTAATCGAACCGATAGGGATGGCCATGGACTCAAAGTCGAAGCTCGATCTATCTAGGGAAACCCAAATGCACGGTGGCCGGTGGCCGTATATGACAACTGACAACCACCTCTTTCTCCTATGCCTACTCCTAGGGGATTGTTTCCTTTCTTGCATGTAATTGAAAATTTCCATCTTCAACAAAAAGCTTAATGTGGAATCGTTTTCTTTTAGACTACTCATGAACGAAGAATGACGAATTTTGTCAAGAAGAATCAAGTGAGGTTGTATACCAAAGTTGTGGAGAGTTGGAATTCCATAATGGCTAATTTCCATGTCTAGGGATCAGGATATTAGTTTTGTTGCTGGACCATCGATAATTTGTGATGTTCAGTCGCCTATATTAACATGCAAAACATTATGCTCTTCTTCCTCGCTTCGAAAAGAAGCATAAAGAGAGAAGATTGAAGAAAAGATCGATCAAAATGATTATCTCACATAGTCAAATGATGTCAAAAAAGTTAAACTAATGTGTCACATCAACATTATGTTATCCCAACAATAACCTTAATGATCAAATTGTTATTTTTGAAACATCAATAAGAAAAAGAGAAATTTATTCAAATATTAGTGACAATTTGTATAATTTAACCTATTTATTTCTCTTTTATGATGTATCAACTAACCTTTTTTTCCTAATAATAATAAGGGTAAAGTATAGTAATGGTCACTGAATATTTTTGAAGTTTTTATTTAGGTCTCCTAACTTTTAAAACTTGCAATACAGTCCCCTAACATTTATTCCGTTTGCAATATGGTCCCCCAACTTAAACTACTGTTAGAAAATTAGGGTAAATTATATAATCGGTCATTAAACTTTTCAGACACTTGAATTTAGGTCTCCCAACTTTTAAAACTTGTAAAACAGTCCTTAATTTCATTATAAACCCCAATTTCCAAAGTAATTCAATTTCATTCTAAACCATTGATTCTACTAAATCATAAATGATCACTGTATGAGCAAATTCAGGTGAATCATAAATGATCGCACTGTAAAGCACTAAAGGGTTAGGTACTCAAATCTGATAAAAAAAATAGCATGCAAGAACATAGTGGTACTTAAATCATAATGCTCCAAATGAGTGTTCCGAATTTCATATAGTCAAAAGTTGAAGAAATGAGCAGAGTTTATGGGAAGTTGAAATACCGAATAGAGTGCTTCCATTTTGCTATTCGGGATGTTTAATCAATGCATATTGTTATTCAAAATTGATATAAATAGTTAAACAAACCTCAAATTTATATTGAAATAAATATTGTCAAATAGTAAATTCATGTTCAAAATTTCAAAACACCTTAATTTCATTCTAAACCTTAAATTCCAAAATAATTCAATTACATTCTAAACCTTAAATTGAAGTATTTTAGAATTTGGGGTTTAAAATTTAATTGAATTATTTTGGAATTTAGGGTTTAGAATGAAATTGAATTACTTTGGAAATTGGGGTTTATAATGAAATTGAGGACTATTTTACAAGTTTTAAAAGTTGGGAGACCTAAATTCAAGTGCCTGAAAAGTTCAATGACCGTTACCCTAATTTTCTAACAGTGGTTTAAGTTGAGGGACCTAATTGCAAACGGAATAAATATTGGGGGGACTTTATTGCAAGTTTTAAAAGTTGGGGGACCTAAATGCAAGCTTCAGAAATGTTCAGTGACCATTACTATACTTTACCCTAATAATAACTTGGATAAATTATCTATTTGGTCACTCAATTATCTTTTTAAAATCATATTTAAAGAATTTTGTTTCTAGTGATTACCCATCGTTAGATTTGACCGTTTATTTGATGAAAATGGTGATGTGGTTTGGTATAATAGTAGTTTTAGTTTTCAAAACTTACACATTTTATCAAATTGGTCTTCATTTAAAATAATTCAAAAGAATCTTTAATATTTGAGAATCCTATCAATTTGATCCAACATAAAATCTCAAATTCTTATCATCTTCGCCGAATGAGTAGATGAGTGGAGATGGTGTTGAGGTGACATTGGTGAGCAAAGTTGTGATGACAATCTGAGCAAAGCTACCATGTGAGTCCAGATGGATCTCATATGAGTGACATCAGTGTTATGATGTGAGTAAGATAGTGATGAAAATCTGGGGAAATTGTTGGATAACGAAGAAATGATGAACGACAATGCAAAGATAGTGGTGAGAGCTATGGAGAACACATGGATATTCATATAATAAGTCCTTAAATTTCGACAGTTTTAAAAGTAAGCTACTAAATATATATATATATATATATATATAAAAGTTATATTTAAAAAGTAATATATTGATCCAATTTATAAATTTAGATTTCGTCTATATATATATATATATATATATATATATATATATAGTTGTTATTGTATTTTTAAATTGAAAAAATATACATGAATTATATTAGATAATTTTTTATTATATTTATATTAGTTCAACCAATAAATTTTTTCTGGATTCGTCACTATATACATACTACAAAGATCGTAGCTCAAATCCAAGGTTCTAGGAAAAACAACACTCTCTCTCTCATCTTTTTAATAATATTTGTACTTTTAAAACATTATATTTTTCCTTATTCTAGTGTTTCTTGAGGTGGAACTTCCCACTAGGGCTGTAAATGAGACGAGACAGATTACGAGCTACTCAAGATTGACTCGGTCAAAGCTCGATCAACACTTGAATCGAATGAACTCGACTCGAATTCTTAATGAGCTACTTAATATTCGACTCGAAAAGCTCGCAAGCTACTCGAAAAAAATGTTATATTATAATTTTAAATTTTTTAAAATTATTATTAAAAATATATTAAAAATACATTATTGATAATTATAAATTTTTAAAAATATATTTTAAAATGTAATATAAGATTTTTGTAGGTTTAAATTCGAGCTTGAACCGAGTTCAAGCTTGAACCGAGCTCAAGCTTGAACCGAGCTCAAGCTTGAATCGAGCTCAAAATCGATCTTCAATCGATCTCGAGTCTCAAGCTTCAATCGAGCTCATGAAATTTTTGAGTTCGAGCTGAGCTTGATAATTTTTAGCTCGCGAGTTTTCGAGTCGAGTCGAGACTAGTTTTAAACTTTTCAAGTCGAGTTCAGTAATACTCGAGCTCGACTCGGCTCGTTTACGGCCCTACTTCCCACGTACTTGCATTTGAAGAAATCGAAATACTATATTTAAGAAGAAAAAAGAGAGAGTGACCATATTTTCCATGGAAGAAGGAATACAAAAATGTCACTTTCTTTATTTTGTTTTCTAATTTACCAGTGTGCCATTTGCTTTGTTTTTTAATTATTAAATTGTAAAAATCTCAATCAATCCAAACGTAAATTAATGATTAGATTATAATTAAGACCCCCAAATCTTGTGTTCATATCTGCTTTAAGGTATATTTAGTTCGTTCACGAATTGCATGTGGCAATAGGTTTATCTGTTTGTAGATACTGAAATTGATGCTTAGCATTGCAGGAATTCCATTTTTGTAAAGGGCTTTACTTGGTTTCTGGTTTGTATGGTTTAAGTAGACAAAAAAGATGAGTATGGGGAAACGTGATCGAGGAATGAAGCTTTGCTTTGAAGGAATGTAGGGTGGTTCAGTTGATTGAAATAGTCGGGCCATTGCTGTGCTGGAATGCACTTGAAGAAGAAGAAGCTTAAAAGCTCTACCATATCATCTTCTTGTTCAACCCACTATGCTTTATTGGAAGTGTTGTGAAATCGCCAATAACCACAGAATAACACACACAACCAGATTCTAAACTCTGATCAAGATCAAGAATCAAAGCCGTAATCAAGAACACCAAATATTTACGTGGTTCGGTCAGTGTGACCTACATCCACAGGAAAAAAACAATTTCACTAAGGCAATCAAAACAAGGTTTACAAGATTTAGAACCAGAAGTAAGAATTCTCTCTCTAAATCTCTCAATACAATATGTTCTCTCCCTTGAACCCTCTCAACTCACTTACATCTTATTTATAACTAAAGACCCTTCAAGTTGATCGGTTCTGCATCACCAACTGTCAAAGTCAAGACAGTTATAACTGAGTTAGTTTTGGCTCCTAACAGTCGCAACCACCTCTTGAATCATAACATTGCCTTAGTCCAGTAAATTGTGAGTCATTACAACAGGAAGCGTGTAAGTTTGGGAAATGTGAGCCGACTTGATCAACCGTATACTCCTTTATTCAGGGACTCGCTGCTTTCATCTGCTTGCACCCATAAAAGGACTCAAATATTTTATTATTATGAAATCAAACTTTTAACCAGAATTTGTGATTTATTAGGCATGATAATAAAATTAATCTCAACGATTATACAAATAATCATTTTATTATTTATTTTTTTAAAATATTTTAATTCTCAATATTTTCATTTTTGAACAATTAAAACTCGACTTCACTAAAATATAAATTCGACACAACCTGAATATGAAAATGATTATATGATATCTAATAACACGTCTCATAACGATATGGGTTTTGCGTTGATGCACAAAAGAAATTTAGTGACTTGTGCTTCAAGACAATTAAATTCCTACAATTGGATTTTTCTAACTCATGTTATAGAACTAGTTGTGGTCTTCGTAGTTAAAATTTGGAGAACCAAACTACTTATACATGAAAAGTGTTACATTTAAACGGATCAGAAGAATCACGTGTATCTCATAAATCTATGAGTAGTTGAATTTGAGATAATGTCGATGGGTCGAGCTTCTTTGTATGTTGAAAAGTGTTATGTTTTCACATATTACAAGAATCTTAAAGTATCTCTAAATCTAAATTGAGTTGAATATGATAAAACACCAGTAGATTGAGCTTTTAACCATTATGATTGCATTATTAAATTTTATATCGATAAAATGAACATAATCACTAATGCTTAGAGTAGCCATCTCTAACGGATCCGACAAATATATACTCGACTAGAGATGATGAACGATAATAGTACATTGGTGGAACTATAGGTTAAAGTGATTTTAGCTCAACAATAAAGGGAAAGTAGTTGTTTGATAAAAAGAAAACAGTGGTTAAATTTAGATGGATTAAGTAGGACGAATCAAAAGAGAAGTGTAATCGAAGATCTTACATATAAAATATATTTAATATTTTAAGAATTTTAACTTTGTATTATTAAAATATATTGTTTAATTGTTAAAAATAAAAAAATTTATAAAATATATTATTTTAAAATTTTAAAATATAATAAATAATTATAAATATATTATTCTAAATATAATATTTTAACTATTTTAAAATATTAATATATTCGGATTGGGTCGGGTCGAGATCGAGATTTTAGTCTAAAAACCAAAACGGGTTGGGGATAGGAAAAAGAAACTAAAATTTATTGGGACGAGACATAGACGGGTATAAAAAATAGGTTTTCGGGTCATGGTCGGGACGAACAAAAACCTGGCCTGGCACGCCTCGTGCCCATCCCTAAATGTAGAGTAGTTCTTATACTATGCATCTTGATAATAATAAAATGTACCGACATTTAAGAGATATTTATTGGTGGACTAGTTTGAAAATGTATCCAAATTTATGTTAAAGTGCTTAACTTGCTAGTGGATTAAGGTTGAGCATCATGTTACATTGGGATTACTTCACCCTATCACAGTTTTCGAGTGGAGGTGAGACTAAAATGACCATAGATTTTGTGATTAGGTTATAGTTGAATTAGAAAAAGAAAATATATTTTCGTTAAAAAATTGAATTCATTAAATATTTTAATTTTAAATGTATTAAATTAAATTAAATAATAACAAATTTACCCTTAATTTGAAAAATATATAGAAAAAACTTATAATCTTGATTAAAATAATTTAAGAAAATAAAATTTCGATTCATCCCATAAAAAGATGATGCGATGGATAAATTCAAAGAGCAAAGGGAAGTGAATGATAATTGATGGGCGGCAGATACATTGTCTTTTGTAAGACAGATATGCTTCTATTAGCTATCTTTTCCAAAGATGAAAACGAGACTTACAATAAACTAAAAAATGAAAAATAATTTATGAATCATCATCCATCCTCCACCGTCCACGTCATTCTTCAATTTCTCTCTCTAGATTAGAGCCCTACTCGCCTCCAACATCAAAATACGTTGTCTACTCGCCTTAGCAACCGTCGGTTCTGATTTTTACTTTAAAGCTAAAGCCATTTATCCACCACATAAAAATAGTTCCCACTAACTGTAAAAGCAAAAGAGATTAAGCTTTATAATACGTAAATAGAATTTAAAATAGTCCAACATTTTTAATAAGTACGATTAATTTAATTAATAATTTTATTATCATCCTATTTTAAGGTTTCATTTTGATTAATTAGGATCGATTTGCGTAATACAAAATAATACAATATGAATTTGACTATACAAATATTTATATAAATTTATATTATATAATAAAAATAAATATTTAATATATTAGACATTATAGATTTTATGTATTATCACTAAATTAATTAATAATATTATATATAAATATCTAACTTATTAATAATACATAAACTTATATTAGCGCAATGTCAAAATTAAACTCCAATAAATGTCAAAATGATCATTTTGACATTTATTCTTTTTTTTCGAAACATTTTGACCCTCAAACGTATCATTTTAAAATAAAATGCTCATTTATGGATGAAAAGTGTTATTTAACATAAGATTAACACTCTAAAACGGAGTTTTTATCCTGAAATGAAATACTAAGAATCGAAATACTCTAAAAAAATAATAAAGGGGCAAAATGAATGTTTAGTCAAATATTTAGAATCTTTTTATCATAAAATAAAATATTGTGGTCAAAATACTACAAAAATTACAAATTCTAAATCCAATCCTTATCCTATGGAGAGAAATAGAGACTCTAGAAGAATAAATAAAAACTCATAATATAAGAGAATATGAAAAAACAAAGAATATAACTAAGATGATTATTTTAATAAACGTTGTGAGCTAATTTGAACATTATGTCAATTATAGTACATTGAGTATTAACTCAAAAGGTATTATCTCATAGATTTTCGATTCATAAAGATTTTGAAGACATGCCTTTGGAGCAATATTAAGATAATTCAAGTTGATTGTATTTATAAAAAAAATAATTATTTTTATATAAATTGACCAACAAACAAAAAAGGATGAGGATATTTTGCGAAGACAAATGATAAGCAGGAAGAAAGGCAGATGGTGGGGTAGCCGAAACCAGACCAGACATAACCCAAAAAGCAAGCTACGTCGGTAAGCAACTTCTTCTTCAATCTCTAACCTCTGATTATCTTCCACGTGTAATGTCTGCTTCTTGTCTCTCTGGCGTTGACACCCTCATTTCATATCATCCTTTGCCCTTTGCTTTCACCTATAATCAAACATCAAAAAAAGTCGCTGAAAATCATCCAACTCTATATTAAAGCTTATATATATATTCATTTGCTGCAACATAGAAGATTCGTACAACTGCTGTCAGCTTTGGGAAATGGAGCGTTATGAGATACTGAAAGATATTGGATCAGGCAACTTCGGTGTTGCTAAGCTGGTTAGGGATAAACGAACTGGTGAGCTTTTTGCTGTCAAGTATATTGAAAGAGGCCCCAAGGTACTACTTACCTCCAAGCTTCATCTGCACTTGGTTTTGTTTATTCATAGCCTGATTGGGGTTGTCTTTCCTGTTTCCTGGGTATGCAGATTGATGAGCATGTGGAAAGGGAGATTATGAACCATAGGTCTTTGAAGCATCCGAATATAATAAGATTCAAAGAGGTAATATCTAAGTTTCACACAGCTCCTTAAATGAAGCAGACAAGGGTGTTTGTGACCTACAACAGGGCTCCCTGCCCTGGTTTGTTTTGGTTCAGTCCCAAACAGCAAACAACTCTATGTTTATCCATAGCTTGAAGTAGTCAAATTGAAATTGTTTATGTTTTGCAGCCCTACAAGTGGTGCTTCTTCTTCTTCTTCAGTTCTTTTTTTTCCCTTTCAGGTTCTGTCGACTCCAACACATCTTGCCATAGTCATGGAATATGCAGCTGGGGGAGAACTTTTTGAAAGAATATGCAATGCTGGTAGATTTAGTGAGGACGAGGTATATTTTTATAAACATTTTTCTTGATTTTTCTTTCTTTTCATTCTTAGCTTACTGTTATTGTTCTACTGCATCAGGCAAGGTTTTTCTTTCAACAACTGATATCAGGAGTGAGTTATTGTCATGCAATGGTACATATACACTTGCCAAATCCCCTAATAGTTGCCATTATTTGGCGATCTAAGCTTAACTTGAAATTTTTGTCTCCATTTTCACAGCAAATTTGTCATAGAGACCTGAAGCTGGAAAACACTCTATTAGATGGGAACACTACACCTCGACTCAAAATATGCGACTTCGGCTACTCTAAGGCAGTAAACATATGCTTCTGCTCCACATACTATATATATAAGCTCAGTTATTAACTTTTCACTCCATATTGCAGTCAAGTGTGTTTCATTCCCAGCCCAAATCAACTGTGGGAACCCCAGCTTATATTGCCCCAGAGGTCTTGTCTAAAAAAGAATATGATGGCAAGGTAAAAAACTTTAGTTTTCGGCTCGGAAATTGACCATTGGTGCTTAATTTTTGACCCAAAAAAAATTCAGATTGCAGATGTTTGGTCTTGTGGGGTTACTTTGTATGTCATGCTGGTCGGATCTTATCCTTTTGAAGACCCTGAAGATCCAATAAACTTCAGAAAAACAATTCAGGTTAGTTGGTAGCTGTCGTTTTCCATAACTTGTCAATATGAAGGTTTTGATTAAAAAATGAATCTGATGGCGAATCGGATTTCGACAGCGGATTCTAAGTGTCCACTATTCTATACCTGATTATGTTCGACTTTCCAAGGATTGCAAGCATCTACTATCTAGGATTTTTGTAGCTGACCCCGAAAAGGTTCATATGATTTTCGACATTTGCAAGTATTTTTAACAGTTTTCTTCATATGTAAGTTGACTTTGAATCTCAATCTTTCGTAGAGAATAAGCATACCAGAAATCAAGCAGCATCCATGGTTTTTAAAGAACCTGGCAATGGAAGGAGAGGATGGAAAACTGGAAATCGAACAAGGAAATTATGAGTCTCAGAGTGTTGAAGAAATAGCGTGTATAATAGATGAGGCTAGGGAAGCTGGTGAGGCTCCCAAAGTGGGTACTCAAATCCTTGGTGGTAGTATGGATCTTGATGACATTGATGATGTTGATATAGATGATGTAGATACCAGTGGTGATTTTGTATGTGCTTTTCTTGATTAATTTGTAAAATTCTCATGATTATCTGTTTACATTGTTGATCAACTTGCGAAGGTAATGTAATCAATGCTAAACGTGCATGAAATCCGGTGAACTCAACGGTGGCGCGTCTGAAACAACCAAAAGCAGAATAACAGTCTCCTAATTGAACAAATTGATATTTTTATTCAACTTCATCAAATTGAAGTGCTTACATTGTCTGGGTTTGAACTCAACAGCCCAATTTATATCTAATAAAGTAACTACCCAACAGAATCTGTTATTGGACTAACCGAATAACAACCCAATAGTTGGGCCTGAGATCTAGAACTTATTGGATTAATATATTTTAGGGTAGACTACGTAAATGGTGACCAAAGTATGTTTCTGTTTTTAACATTGAAATTTCAAAAGTAATGAAATAGTCTCTAACATTATCCTTTTGTAATAAATTGGTCACTCAACTGTTAAGTTATTACCGCAATAAAAAAAAGTATGATGTTACAAAGAAGGAATATGGAAAAACAGAGATCATTTCTAAAAGACCCGAAGATGAGAAAAAAAGTGAAAAGAAAGATGTGTAAATCGTTGAGAATGAAACCATGGAAAGTGAAAAAAGAAAAGGTACTTCCACTTAACAAGAAGTTGACAATGTGACCTTGTTTATCGATTTCCATTGCTTTCAAGAAGCCTGGTAACCATGAATCGAATTAAAGACAATTGCAGTGTGGATGATGAAAAGTGTGTTCTGTAATTCTCTGACTTGCATGTGGAGCCAAGACCTGTTTTAGTCAGTTCATTTTCTAGAATGCTTGATAATAATATATGTGAATTATTTATGGGTGCAGGTTTGTGCCATCGAAGTCGACCCTGGTTTTAGAGAAAACAGAAACGCTAATCTACATGATCTTGTTATCCTCACAGGAGGAGAGGTAGGGTAACTTCGTCTTGCTATATGATATTGTCTTGTTCGTATCATATTCTTCCCCTGACATGAAATTTCATTACTTCTTGACAATGATATTTGTTTTATCTCTACTAAGTTATAATTGAAGAACAATAGCATATAACAGGATAACCTATTAAAGACAATAGCTACAAATGCTGGAGTCGTGGGAGTCGTTATTGTTGGTAAGCTATTGGAGCATTATAATCCTGATGTTAACGGGTATGATGCAGCCAAAGGTATGTAAATCTCTTAGCCAAAAAGTGTGAGATATATGTTTTTTTTAAGTGTCAGTCAAAATGACTGGTTAAAGGGTGTCATGTGACTAAACAGTGCCAACTTAGTCTTTTAAACTTTTGGGGTGAATATATTTCAATCCCTTTTGGGGTTTTGTTAATGCTCTTTCTTCATTTGTTTGTTTCAGTTCAATATTGCAAATCCAACCACCGGTTGCCAGAAGAAGCTGGAAATTGATGATGACCAGAAACTGTAATTGTCCTCCTTTCCCACTCCCCTTATAAAAAAGGGTTGAATTTTAGTTTGTTGCTCTAAAGTCCAATGTTAATGTTAAAGCCAATGCTTATTATCTTAACCAATGTAAACACTCAAATGAAAACTGTGGCTTCTTTTTGGTTATATTGGATTAGTGAGATTGAGTTTTAGAGCATCTAGAGATGTGCAAAAAATGGGCAGAAGAAAATTCAGTGGTAGACTAAATGTTAATGAAATTTGGATGAATTTTTTGTTAATAACTTTTTTGCACTAGTGGAAAAATTTTGGTTTTTTACTGAGTTTTCTGTTATATCAAAATGGTTTTTGATTTGCAGATTTAGTCTTTGTTAAAGACTAGAACAGTTGTGAGAAATGTTTCCTCTCTTGTATTGTGGAACTTCATTGATAGCCTTTGATGGGGTATGTGACAGGAAATGTTGTTTGTATTTCCCAAATCTAACAAAAAAATTAGCTAGCATAATATATTTTGTAAATCTTGTCTCTCACCGTTCATATATGAAGTTAGGACTTGGAATATAATGGTTAATTCGCTTACTCGATATTGTCGATATTAACTTGCTAATATTATATTCAGAAGTTAAGAAAATAATGTCTTGCACCTTATAAATTGCTCATCTGCTAAATTTTATGCTGACTACTCGGTTAAGGGTTTATCTTTGGGACCACTGGTTCTTTTCAAAATACCACCTTTCTTTATCCGATGCAAAGAAAATGGAAAGGAAATCCAACTGTATTTTACCCTTTTGCCATAGTTTTTTCTTGCGAACAGTGCTTTTACATTTAGCTGCTTGCTTTGACTGACCATGAGTGTAAAAGTTTCTGAACAAAATTTACTGACCTCAAACTTTTATATCACAGCCGAGCCTTTTTTGACAAGAGGATTTCTCAGGAAGTCAGTGGTGATGCCCTCAGTGAAGTATGATTCCAAGTTGCTTGTAGCTTATCTTCCAAATTTATTCTATTGAATCTGACTGTTTTAATTGCCTTTTGCTCTCTCCCAATTATCATTTAACAGTAGTTTAAGGGCTATGTATTCAAGATCATGGGAGGCTGTGACAAGCAAGGTTTTCCAATGAAGCAAGGAGTTCCTACTCCGGGACGTTTTGTCTTTTGCTTCACATAGGTCAATAGACTACAAATTAGTTCCCCTTTTTTTTTATCTCAGCATAAATGTTTTTCTTTTATGGTTTTTCAGTTGACAGAATGACTATTTTTCTCTGAATAGGTACTCCCTGCCTCCGTGTGTATCGTAGAAGAAATGGAGAGCGTAGGAGGAAATCAGTTCGTGGATGCATTGTCAGTCAAGATCTTTCAGTTCTGAACTTGGTTATTGTGAAGAAAGGTGAAAATGATCTTCCTGGGTTGACTGACACTGAGAAGCCAAGAATGAGGGGTCCAAAGAGAGCATCAAAAATCTGGAAGCTGTTCAACCTCTCTAAGGAGGATGATGTTAGGAAGTATGTTAACACATATCGCCGAACCTTTACAACCAAATCTGGTCAGTACAAAGTATTTCTCTGTGCTTCATTTAAGTACCAGGGGAAGGATTTTTTATTGGTGATTTACTTTTCGCAAAATATGCATCTATAAGCTAATAACAGGATGTGTTCCCCAATAAAAAATAAACACTTTCATGGAATGCAGGCAAGAAAGTAAGCAAGGCTCCCAAATTCAGAGGTTGGTCACTCCTTTGACCTTGCAGATGAAGCGTGCCAGAATTGCAGAGAAGAAGAAGAGAGTTGCAAAGGCCAAGGCTGATGCTGCTGAATACCAGAAGCTCCTTGCTCAAAGGTTAAAGGAACAGCGTAAGCGCAGGAGTGAGAGCTTGGCCAAGAAGAGATCCAGGCTTTCTGCTGCTTCTAAGCCATCCATTGCTGCTTAATTGTACAAAAAGTTTTATTGTTTCCTTCGTTTGTTGAAGCTGGCTAGTTCTAATATCTTACTATACGTAACTTTTTTATAATTTTCCGGACTCAACAATGCTTTTAACTTTTATGTCATTGTGTTGTGGGTGTTTACCTGTTCTTCTATGTGTACTTTATGAGCTTTCTGACTATATTGGTTCTAAAATCAGCGAGGCTTTGTTTGGAATATTCTATCTCAGATTCTCTTGAAATATTCTATTATTTTCTATTAAATAGCTTCAAATAAAGCAGATGGAGACTCAAGTTATACATCCACGGCCTGGCCATTGACCTTCCTACAATTGGTTCTAATCTCACCAGGCCGCCCTGACTGCAACTCTCCCATCTTCAACATCCCCTCGACGAAGGCTTTGAAAAACTCATTTTCATCATTACTAAAAAGCTTTACATATTCTCTAGTCTGAGGGAATGTGAAGAGGGTTTCATCTGAATTCAGAAATCCCCTCCCTGCAACCAAGTCTTTGAAATATTGGTTGTCGAACAATCGGGACGTTGCATCCAGATCTCCGGTTACATTCTCATCTCCACCTCGTGGACAAAGCTTGTCAAGCTTTGCCCTAAACCCGGGCTCGATGGCAGGGTCAGGCTTGCCTGACCCAGATTGGTTGTAGAGCCTGAACATGATTGAGAAACACCTTGCTTCCCCAATGGAGTGTGACCCAGAGAGGGCTACAAGATCCTTCACCGAAAGATTGTATTTGCTGAAGAGATCAATGAGAGAAGATGCGTTTGCTCTTGGGCTTGGCATTATATTGTTCGACTCCTCTTGACTTGCTGTTAAACTGTCTTTTCTTCCTAGTCTCACCACCCAATCGGGTCCTCCAGTCTGGTTTAAAAACACAGCGTGTCATCTCATATTTTGGTGAATTATACATAAAGAAACTCTACTAACAAGTAGAATTCATCAATGGACTTAACAGCTACCATATTAATAAGGGTAAACTACGTATTTAGTCATTTAACTATTTAAACAATTTCGTTTTGATCATCTAACTATTTTTTAAAAAGAAAACTATATATAACGTTATATTTGGATTTCAGTTTGGCCACCCGCCGTGAAACATTAACGGTGATACTAATGTGTCATCATAATATAATGTCATATTATCATTAAAAAAAATATTAAAAAAATACCACATCAGTAATTCTGTTAATTTATTAACAAGTATTCAAAATATAACGTTTGGTATGATTTTGAGAAAAATAATATGGTGACCAAACAGAATCATACGTATAGTTGAATGACTAAATGATATTTTACCCTATTAATAACAACTATGAATCTGAAATGATGAAGAAATGTTGTTTTTAGAAAAGTTGGAAGGTATGAATTGCCCTAGTTGACAAAGTTCGGACAAAAAGCGTCCATATGTACTGAATTTCTGGCAGATTGTTTAATGTGTAGCATTTTATTGAAGGAAGAAAAGGCTAAAGAGGACAAAGAGAACAAGAATAGTTTTTTACCAGAGCAACGGCATCCCTGGCCGCCATTATTATGATATCAGCACAAGAAACAACCCCCGGACACGCCTTCTCCAACGCTTCCTTGACCTCATCGACAACCTCGAAAGATCTCAGCGAATTTATATTGGAAAGAGCTAGCTTTTCCCCGATCATGCTCGGCGTATCGTCCAGCAGCAAAGAGGCATCACAACCCTGTAAAGCAAATCCACGCATAAAGGTATTGACATACTGAAACTACGTAATTTGAGAGGTTAACAAAAAGTTTTTACGTTAACAAAGCAGTCGTGGAACTGAAAACGCATGACGGAGGCAACGCTTCTGGGTTCCCTAATCATGGCCTTCTTCATCACATTTCTCACAATGGCTTCCGCTTTTGGACATGTTTGGGAGTAAAACCCTGGGTGGAGATGGCATGCTGCCGCCATTTCCACTATTAGGACAAAGAGTATTGGAGGAAGGAGAGACATTTTTTTGTTTGTTTGTTTGAGAGGGACAATGGTGGATGGGTTTTTAAACTTGTTTAATAGGTGGGATATGACAGTGTTGGCTGCTTGGTTGGATTCTTTCTAACACCAATTTTATATTGTCTGAATTATAGTAATTTAATAAGAAAATAATTTAAATTTGTGCCAAAATCAGATACAAACATATATAGTGCCAACGTTAATATTAAATATCAAATCTGCACACCAAAGCAATATTAACTCTCTTAACCACTTATCTATTTTTTGACTTTTTCTTTAATTGTAGTTTAAGTTATTTAAGTATAAGTTTTTACAAATAAATTAAATATGAATAATTATTTTACGTATAAACAATAAAAAAAATCCACAAACGAAAGTAAAATATTATCATATTATTTTTCAATTCTTATTTTGTTAAGATAATTAAAGCACACCTGAAATCACATATTCAAACATCGGGGGTGTAAAAATTATAATTGTTTATTATTAGAAGATTGAGAATCTTTAAACAATACCACCTTTTATATATATATATATAAAGCACACTTGACAACAATACAATAAAATGAAATTTTACCCCGACTAAGATTATTGTCCATTCAAATCTATGTGAATCGGCTGCCTCTGTTAAAGACTTATCAGCCAAACCGCCTGCCAGCGGATAGTGTGAAGATTGATTATTATTAATGTAGGAAATATTAATATATTAAATATTAGTATGGATTAATGAAATATTATTCGAATTCTTCTATTAATTCTCATAAAACCATAAATCTAATCATTATATTTTAATTTACTAAGATAGAACGTTGAAAGTAATTAAGATAGATTTAGATCCATTTAGCAAAGTGGGATTCCACTTGGCAAGATAAATAATTGTATTTGTGGAGTATTAGGTGAAAGAGATGAGATTCTTGTAAATGCAATTGCAAAGGTGGCAGAAATTTGCTGGGTTTTCAGCCATTGTCACCATAAAAAGAAGGCAAAGGCGTCCCAATGGGCTAGTGGTGCCACGCCATAGTTAACCCACACAATTCATACTTCCCATAGGATGTTGTGGTCGTGGCAACAATTGCGACACCCACTATGCACCTTAAGATAAATTCGAGATTAGGAAAAATAATATTTTTTATTAAATTGAGTCGATTTTTAAATTTAAAATCTATAAAATTAAATAAAAAAAACCCCGATTTATTATGTCCCATTACCATCGTTAACCATGATATTGGGTAGGCATTCACAAATATCTTATATATTGAGTAACCAAATATAACTTGATCTAATGATTTTATTAACAATGGATGTGACTAATAAATACATATAGTTTGGGATAAGATTGAAATATTTAAAAGTTTGAAGACTTAATTTAGAAAGAGGGTCACGGTTTAGGGATGAAATTAAATTTTTTAAAAATTTAAAGATCAATTTAAAATAAAGGTTATAGTTTGGGTATATATGCAATTAACTGTTAAAAGTTAAATAATGTAACTGAAGTGTCCCATTATCGCATGTGTAATTAATTACCGCAAGCAATTATACTAAAACCTAATTATTTTGTGGCTTTCCGACCACACTCAAATAAATTGATGCTAATTCTAAAACAAGCCACTAAAATTAAATTATCAATTACAACGAAATTTAACAATTTTACCAAAATAAATATAGTAATAAATCGTATTATTATCCACATTTTTTTTAATAAAAAGTTAATTAAGAATAGAAACACTATTACCAATCTCCTAACAAACGAGGTGATTATCTTGGTCATTTAGTATTTGTAACAAGTGATTTTGATTTTGAATTTAAAATTAATATTTATTTTTGGAAAATCGACTCATTTAATTCAAATACATATCAAACATAGAGATCCAAGAATGAAATTAACTTGGATTTAAATAATAAATATTGACCAGCTAGCATCCGTGACATGCAGGCAGCACTGATAATTCATACTGATCTGCCTCTGCCATTTCACCAGATCTGAGCTTCCAATAATTCATACAAATACAACGTGCTGCAATTATTGGACCTGGTTGGCAGTTTATCTTCTTGTTCTAAGGGAAAAATTCAAAGACAACAACTTTAGCAGGATAATTCGACAGAACATATAACTTCAAGAAACAACATTCACACAATCTGCAACTCAGCTGCAAACTTTGGTTTTCTATTTGCCCATCTCAGAAGATGCAATTAGTTTAGCTGCCCTTGCAAACTAGACTAATGCAATGTAAAATATACAAACAGATATACCGCACCCTTGAAAATTTGATATTAAGAATGTAAAAGAAATGACCTGACAAACAATAGGAGACCAAATCCAATTAACTCATGATCTACAGCACATGTTGCTCTTTGCTGGAATTTCTTGTGCTGGACCTGGAATGATGATCTTCTTGCCTGCTAGAGATGTGGGGTTGCCGTTTCCCTGATTCTCATCAGCAACCAGGTTCTTCTTGTTCACGATGTTGAAGATCTCAGTAAGCACAGTCATGAAGGCGGTCTCCACGTTAGTCGCTTCAAGAGCTGAGGTCTCCAAGAAAAACAGTCCCTCCTTTTGAGCAAATTCTTTCGCATCCTCGGTTGGAACCTCCCGCTGGTTTTCAAGGTCACATTTGTTCCCAATCAGAATAATAACAATGTTTTTGTCGGCATGGCTGCGTAACTCTTCCAGCCAACGTGGAATGTGATCAAAGGTCTGGCGTTTTGTTATATCATAAACCAGCATTGCCCCGACAGCACCCCTATAGTATGCACTTGTAACAGCTCTGTATCTGCTCAATATAACATATCATAAGAAGCAAAAGAATTAGGCAGAAAGTATTGGTCAACCTAAATGGCTAGGTTTGTATATCAAAACAGAATCACCATAAGGCAAAAGAATCCCCATAATCAAATGGCAATTGTCCAAGATGGAACCAGCAAGATTATCAATACCAAAACCAATTACATATAAACTTATTAAACATTAACTGTCAAGAGTTAGATTCAAATGCTTTAACCATTACCAAAGAGGTTGAATGATTAAAAGATGCGACTATCCCATCGAGTCATCAACCACTTATTTACTACCACAAATATAGGGGCGGATTGCAACTAAAATGGCTCAAATTCAACAAGAATGACAGATATCACAGCCCTGCTTATCAACATCACAAGCTTAAATACGCACTAGCACAAACACAAATCTCCGACGTCCACACCGCAATTTGTTGCAAATTTGTTCCAAACTATTTCACCTGATCAAATAGGGCATTAAGATCCAACTGAGGGTTCCTATTGTCAACTGATCACCATGAAAGATTTCATCAAGCCCATAAAAACTTAAAAGAAAAGTAATTATATAACCCATCTATCAAACATTGAAAATCCTTTTACCTCCAAACAATTTAGACAACTAAATACAACCATATCTTGTGAGTGCACAGTAAATCTAGCAAACAAACGTTTAGTACAAGGATTCCCGAATCAATTTTCGATTTCAGATGGCATTTTCCAAGCTTATAATTCTGTTTCTGTCCGAAAACTACAGATCTTTGAGAAAACAGAAAGGTTTCACCAAAAAAAAAAGGGGAAATAAACGAATCTTCGTGAAAAGTTTCCAAAAAAAAAAGTACCGTTCTTGACCGGCAGTGTCCCAAATCTGAGCCTTGACACTCTTGTGTTCAATAACAAGAGTTCTCGTCTGAAACTCAACTCCAATGGTAGCCTTGGAATCTAAACTAAACTCATTTCTGGAAAACCGAGCAAGAATCTGAGACTTGCCCACAGCAGAGTCGCCGATCAAAACTACCTTGAAGACGTAATCAATCTTCTGGCTTGGGTCTCCATACCCTCCTCCACTTGCCATTTTTTCTCTCTTGATTCTACTTGTGCCCTTCGTTATTTCACCCTGGAATATAGGCTAAGAGAGAAAACAAAGGGATTGTGCTGTTATTGCAATGGCTCTAATCTAACAAATCATTGATGAGAAAGACGGAAAGAAATTTTTGTTAATTATCAAAGGAAAGGAACGGATTCAGTGTGTCCTGGTATAGAGTAAACAAAGAAATGGTTAACCAATGAATAATACACATTTGTCACCTGATTAAAGTAATTTCCTGTGTTTCATTTGAACTAGGGAATGTCTGTGCCTTTAAACTGGGTTTTTGAGACCGCCGTCGAACTTATTTCGTTGCTCTAATTTCTGGTTTATTATATTTAAAAAATAAACATAAGACTTTAATTGCAAATCAAATTATTTTTAAATTACATAAATATAATTTTACATGTATTTGACTTTTATAATTAAGGGTGAATGTTCGATTGAGTCGAGTTAAGTCGAGTTAAAAAGTTTTAAGTTGTTTGAGTTGACGATTCATATTTTATAACTCAAAGCTGATTTTAATTTTTTTCGAGTCGAGTCGAATTTTTGAGTTTCTATTTAAATTTAATTGTAAATATTTATAATATTATGATATTATTTGATTATTGTATGAATTGTTTTTTATAACTATATACAATACATATATATATTTCTTCAAATTTTTTTATATGTGATATGCATATATCATACAGAGTCGAAGAACTCGACTCAAACTTAAAAATCAATTCACTAACCACTAAAAAATTTGAGTTATTCAAGTTACCAAATACAACTCGATTTGAACTTGAAATTTTTTCTAGTCGAATATGAAAGTACAACTCGAAGTCAATTCGAGTCGAATTTTTTCGAATCGAGTCAAAAAATTGATTTTTCGAGTTTTACTCACCCTACCAATAATTGTGATTAGTGACAAATGATAGTGTAAAATAAATAACATACCACTTAATTATTAGTAAAATTACAAACTGATTATGAATTTTAAAAAGTCTCAAATAGATCATTTAATTAATTGAATGTTATAAATAAATCAATTTGTCATTAAAAATGAAACGAATATTGATTTATGCATTATATCAATTCAATCATAATTCGAATAAATTTAACATTTTATATTTAAAAAGTATATTAAATTAATCTTTGTTCTTTTCCTATAAATATTATATTATTTTCTTGTTGCTTAA